CCTGAACACAACTCAAATATCTCAGATGATACACATAAATCATGCCAACATCAATAAAATCCAACCCGAACCTAAACAACGGACAACCGAGCATTAAGACACCAAAATAAATAAAATTCAGAATCTAGAGTTAGACTCCACCAATAAACCTGAAACTTTACCACATATCAAAGCATACAAAAACACATACCCTCACCAAGTTTCAGCTCAAAATTTCATCCGGGAGTATTTTTAAATAACTGAAGCAAAAACAGTGTCAAAATCCGATGTTATCATTGCATATAGCTACACTTCGAATTTTATTCTAAAATTTTGACACAACACATAATAACTCAAAATAACATAATCCTCAAGGTTTCAGCTCAAAACTCCAAGTGTACGATTTTTAATGAATTTTATAAGATTCTGACCAGAAACTGATTTAAATAAATAAAATAGTTACAGATGGAGTTTCGACTTGAAAATTTTACACGACTTACAAAATTATCACAGAAGATCACATATAAAATTTCACGGCATTCGGACAATCACACGATTTATCATGAATTAATTACGATTCAGCAGCACGCTCGGTTTGGAAAATTCATATCTCGGCATATACACATCGAAATGACCCCAAACCAAAACCAATAACTCGAGGACAACTCCAAGTGCCTATAACTCCAGGATTTCCACGAAAAATACTACTCGAAACTCAGTTCGATAACGACCAAAGTGACGGCAATCACTTGATATCGAAAACACATATAATTTATCATAATTCATACAAACACATATCCAAGGCACGAAATTAACTCGTAAATCACACGTTCAGCAATTAACACACGTACGAGCACCTAAACACATATAAACGAACGAAATAATTAAGTCGAGAGTTAGCCCGGGTACCGTTCTCGGGACGGGGCTACGAAAACGAGCAACGAAATAACAAACGAGCTCGCTAATGGGATCACGGGACCTCCGGGACTGCAGCGATCGAGCCCGGGACGATTCGAACAACGGCAACACACAGAACAAGGCTGCTGCAAGCGGCGGGACGTGCGAACCTGAAACCGTACGGACAGCAGCGAGTAGCAGGGCCGAGAAGGTGGGCTGCAGCGGCGTCGGTTCTCGTTGGGTGCGGCGAGCAGCTTCGGGAACGGAGGTGATGATGATGGTGGCTGAGGAACTCGCCGGAAAAGCTTCATGGAGGCCGCTGCAAAAACCTGGTCGCGGTCGAGGATGAAGGCGGCGATAATGGCGGCTCGGCGTTCGGAACTCGTCGGCTTCGTTTGACACTCCGACGGAACCCGACGGGACTCGACGGTCACGATAGACACTTGGACGGGATTCGACGGGTCCCGACGAAGGGAGGGAGCTCGCCGAAGATGGTGGTGCAGCGGCGGCGCGGACAGCAATGGCTTGACGATGATGAACGCTGGGCAGCAGGGGTCCGCCGGGGTTGCAGGTGATCGCTGCTGGTTCACGGTGGTTGGTGACGGACAGCGGCCTGCTGGGATTGACGGCCTGTGGTGCTATTCACGGTGATTATGCCCAGATGATGGTGGCGCTGCGCGATGATGAACGATGAAGATGTTGTCCAGCAGTTGATCACGAGCAGGTTTGATCGCGAGGATGCTGATAGATGATATGGTCAGTGAATTATGGTGAAGGAGATGATCGATGGAGGCGCTGCGGGGAAGAGATATGAGTTCTTTGACCGAGTAATCTGATTTTAAAAGTGAGGGAACGTGGGATCGTGCGAGGAAGAAGCGCAATAGATTTTTGATCCGTTGAAGACTCAGTCGTAGCGACAAAGAGGATGGATTTCTGCTCATTAACTCTTGGGCCATAATTAATCCTTGTTGGGCCAAAAATTATTAAAAGAATTGGGCCAAGGGTTGGTAATTAATCAAAAAAATTGAGCCAACATAATAGCATAGTAAATGGGCCGGAAATACTTTCGATAAATTCGGTCAATTATAAAACTTAAGACTCACTCGGAAAAACCACTTGGATACGATTGCGACAATAAACTAAATCGGGTAATATATATAATACACATAATTTATTTAATTATAATATAACATTTATACAATTAATATTAATAATAGTAATATTACTAATAACAACAAATAATAGCAAATTGGCATTTAATAGCATTAATAATAATAATAATAATAATAATAATAATAATAATAATAATAATAATAATAATAATAATAATAATAATAATAATAAAGACAATTTAATAATAGCAATAATATATATATATATATTCCCAAATAAGCCACGATAAAATGAGGTATTACACAACGTCTCCGGAAAGACTTGTTGTCGAACACTACACCATTATTTGATGTGGATAACATATATTTCGTGCCCCATCACATGTTGAAGCAAAATCGTATCGTTTAAAGAAGTCAAGGAAAATACGACTAAATAGAGATAAAAGGGAACAAATAATCAACCTCTCTGGAAAGACTTGTTTTCGAACACGGCACCATTATTTGATGTGGATAACATATATTTCGTGCCCCATCGCTATTTGAAGCAAATATCGTATACATTTAAAGAAGTCAAGGAAAATACGAGTAAATAAGAACAAAAGGGAAAAAATAATCAACGTCTCTGGAAAGACTTGTGTTCGAACACGCTAACATTATTTGATGTGGATAACATATATTTCGTGCCCCATCGCATTTTGAAGCAAAA